CGCGGCCCCCTCCGCTCTCCCCTCCGCGCCTGCTGCCGCCGCCCCGCGCCGCGCTGCCTGCTCGGAACTGCCCTTCCCGCCTGCCCACCCGCCCCCGGCCCGGCCGCTTTAATAGCCCTCGGGTCGCCGCCTGCGCGCGGACTCTCCGCCTTCGCCTGCTGCTCCTCGGCGGCGCGGCTCGTCCCTCTTGGCCGCCGCCGCCGCCGCCGCCTTCCGCGCCGCCCTCGCCCTCGCCCTCGCCCGCGGCCGCGGCCGCGCCGGGCCTCGGAGGGGGCCGCGGGCGGCATGCTGCTGGACGCGGGGCCGCAGTTCCCGGCGCTGGGCGTGGGCACGTTCGCCCGGCACCCGCCCCCGTCGGCGGCGGAGATGCAGGAGCGCGAGCTGAGCCTGCAGAACAGCTTCGTGGACGCGGCGGCGGCGGCGCACCTGGGCGCCTTCAAGCTCAACGCGGCGGCGGCGGCGGCGGCGGCGCACGAGCTCTCGCCGGGCCAGGGCTCGGCCTTCAGCTCGCAGGCGCCCGCGTACCCGCACGCCGCCCATGTGGGCTCCTACTCGGGGCCGCCCTTCAACTCGCCGCGGGACTTCCTCTTTCGGAGCCGGGGCTTCGGGGAGGCGGCGGCGGCGGCGGCGGCCGGCGGAGGACAGCACGGGCTCTTCGGCGCGGCGGCGGCGGCGGCCGCGGCCACCGGCAGCCTGCACCACCCGCATGCGGAGGCGCAGGGCCACCTGCTCTTCCCGGGCATCGGCGAGCAGCACGGCGCGCCCGGCTCGCCCAACGTGCTCAACGGGCAGATGCGCCTGGGCTTGCCCGGGGAGGTCTTCGGCCGCTCGGACCAGTACCGCCAGGTGGCGAGCCCCAGGACGGACCCCTATGCCGCGGCCCAGCTGCACGGGCAGTACGGCCCGATGAACATGAACATGGGCATGAACATGGCGGCGCACCATGCCCACCACCCGCACGCCCACCCGCACGCCCACCACCACCACCACCACCACCACCACCCCGGCGCCTTCTTCCGCTACATGCGGCAGCAGTGCATCAAGCAGGAGCTCATCTGCAAGTGGATCGACCCGGAGCAGCTCAGCAGCCCCAAGAAGAGCTGCAACAAAACTTTCAGCACCATGCACGAGCTGGTCACCCACGTCTCGGTGGAGCACGTCGGGGGGCCCGAGCAGAGCAACCACGTCTGCTTCTGGGAGGAGTGCCCGCGCGAGGGGAAGCCCTTCAAGGCCAAGTACAAGCTGGTCAACCACATCCGCGTGCACACGGGCGAGAAGCCCTTCCCCTGCCCGTTCCCGGGGTGCGGCAAGGTCTTCGCCCGCTCCGAGAACCTCAAGATCCACAAAAGGACGCACACAGGTCAGTGCGGGCGGCGGCGAGCCTGGCCGGGGAGGGCAGCGCAGCGGAGGGAGGAGAGGCAGGCGGGCAGGGGACCGCGGCGCTGGCGAGACCTGGCCGCGGGCAAAAGAAAAGGCGGCGACCTGCCGCTTCCTTTGCTTTTGCTACAAAGGCGAAGCCGAGAGAGCCTTTCCCGCCTCTCAGTCGGTGCGTGCGGCGCTCAGGCACCTGCTTGCGCCGCGCTTCTCTGTCCTGCGCAGCCCTTTGAAGGGCGCGCTGCTCGCAAGACCGCAGCAGAAAACAGATTTGTCGTGAATGTGCGCACCGATCTTGCGGGGCCATTGCAGGGCTCCTGTGGGCGCCCGCATGGGAACAAAAGAGAGCTCCACGCAATTCTGCTGAGGGTCAAGGTGCTGCCTTTTCGAGCGAACCAGCGCAAGCTAACCCGCCACCAGAAAGGCTCGGCCGAAGCGCCGCGCTCAGGGCAAAGCCCGCGTCGTGGTCCCGGACACTCGGAGCGAACAGAACAAAAGCGACCCCGTCGCTTTTAGTGGGAACTACTTCCATGCACCTCTAAAATTCAAATTTTTCCTTTGAAATCCACCGGATTCACTTCCAAACAAATACGATCAGGTCTGAGGTTTCACTGAAACAAAGGCAGTAGTCGAATTTTCAGAAAGTGGATAAATAAAAGAGCAGCTAAGGAAGCCACGAATATGTTGTGTTATAACTGTGCTGAATAGATATAAAGTAGGGGTGCATTTTCTACTCTCCTGGTTTAGAATAACTCTGTTCTAGAACAGGCACCCCTTCTTGCTTCTCTCCGCCCCCCCTTCCCCTTCAGGGCCGCTGTACAGAGGCTGCTTCCCATTAAGTTTAAGTGGGGTGAGGCAGGGCCATAAAATTTTCTAATTTCCAAAAGTGTTCTGGGGCATCTGAAGGTGGTTTTGCACGAGTTTATTAAAATTACGTAATAAGGAACAGAGGGTCTAAGACTGACAAATGTCCAGGCATAGGATTTCCGCTTCTCCTCACCCCACCTTAAATAAGAGCTAATGTGCGGAGAAGAGCCGGTGCCAGATCGCGTGGGGGAGTCCCGGCAGAGGCAGCAAGCAGACGCGTTTTCCCTAGCTCTTAAATAACGGGTAGAAATGCACGACATCGCTTTCTCTGCATCCCTCCTCCACCCGGCCCCGAAAAAGGCAACCAAATATTTGAGCGATTTCTGGACATCAATATTGACTCAGGAGGAAAGCTCTGTGGGCCTTCCTCGTTGTGTTATGCAAGTGTTAAGAACGGGCTTAGGTGCGAGACGGGCTTTAACAAGGTTTAACAAATCCGTGATGTTGATTTGCATGGAGATGCCCGCGATTGGGGTCTGAGTGGATGTCTTTAAGAAACAATTTAAGTGCTAATGGAATTTCACGTAAAATTGCGCTTCTCTCCCACCTCCGATTTTGAGGGGGAGGGCGGAGGATCCGGCTGTGGTGGTGGCTGGAGTTCTCACACCTACAAATTAATCAGAAATCTGGCTCACAGGGTGAAGCAGCTCCAGGAAAACGCCAAGCAGGATTTTGCATGTGTTTTCTTTGGTTCTCTCTCCCTCCACCTAACACCCCCCCCCCACAACACACAGACCGCATTCCCAGCGGATATCTGGGAATTATTTCCAGTCTTACATAAAAGGGGGAGAAAAATGCAGCGTGCTTTCAGACATTGAGCCATTTGTTTCTGGGGTTTAACAAGGTATTCGTGCTGGATTGTTTTTTAAAACAAGATGAAGAAAGCTTTGGCCTGGTGAGCAGATTTTTCTTCTAAGACCCGTTGAAACAAAACGGAAGAAATATAAATCCTGCAACAGGCGTCGCAGCCCGAATAGGAAGCATCCCCCTCTTGATGCTGCCTGAAATTGTTTTCAAAACAATAGTTACAGGTTGACTGCACAGGGTGGTCCCTACATACGTGTTACTAAAACCAGTGACTTTCTGAAATTGCTGGTTGGCTTGTATTAGCAGTTTTTTAAAGAGCTGCAATGTTGAAGGCTGTTTACTTCCTTATCATAAGTTTTATAGGCATTTTGTAGAAGTTTCAAATAAATACATTTAAATAATGAGTGTTAGTGAAATGACACGAGGTCTCCAGCGGGATCATTCTTTCCTTTAGCTGAACAAATAAATCAGAGATTTTCTGTTTCTTCCATGATCTTTCATTCTCCTCATTTATTTTAGTTCTTGAGAAATGTTGCTTTAGATAAACTGATTGGAATCAAAGCTGGATGGGTGTTTTTTCCTTTTTGTATTTGAGCTTACACCAGATTGGCTTTCTTCCTGCAGGAGAGAAGCCCTTCCAGTGTGAATTCGAAGGCTGTGACAGACGCTTTGCCAACAGCAGCGACAGGAAGAAGCACATGCATGTCCACACTTCGGACAAGCCCTATTTGTGCAAGTTGTGCGACAAATCCTACACCCACCCCAGCTCCCTGCGGAAACACATGAAGGTAATCCAACGAAGCAAGCGGAGGTGGCACTGGGCCTGGAAGAAGATGCTTAAATTCAGCTGGCTGTATGAAAACCACAAGAGAACTGAGTAACACACAAGAGTGACCTTGCTTTTGTAGCCATAGGCTGCACCTTTACGGGCAAGCAAATCCCACTAAACTGGGTGCCACTTACTCCTGGAAAAGAAGGATGTTTCAAATGTGAGATGGGGGGGGGGGAGAGGAAAAAATCCCTTGGTTTGTAACCATGCAAGTCAACCTGCTTGCGTACCCCAGTGCCTCGAGCAGGACTGGAGTAACCTCACTTTTGCAGGACTTCAGTCCTAGGGAGCGGAAACCAGTATGCCTGCTGCATTGGCCGTGGGGGTGGGGTTGAAGCCTCACCCTTGAGGGAAGAAGATGGGGTGGGAGTCAGAGTCACGCCCTGAGGTCTGCCTGTGTGACGCCCCCATCTTTTCGTGGAAGTTAATGCGTCCGCTTTGTTTACCTCTGCCCGGCAGGTCCATGAATCTTCTCCGCAAGGCTCCGAGTCCTCGCCAGCTGCCAGCTCGGGCTACGAGTCCTCCACCCCGCCCGGCCTGGTGTCCCCCAGCGGAGAGACCCAAAGCGCGGCCAGCACCAACTTGTCTCCCGCAGCGGCAGCCGCTGCCGCCGCTGCAGCCGCTGCCGCCGCCGCCGCAGCCGCATCGGTGGCGCACCGGAGCGGCAGCGCGGGCACGGGCAGCAGCACGAGCTCGAGCTCGGGAGGGAGCGGCGGCGGCGGCGGCGGCGGCGGGGGCGGCTCCGGCCACAGTGGCCTCACCTCCAACTTCAACGAGTGGTACGTCTGAGTGGGACTGGCCGCCCTCGCTGCTCTCCCCAGGCCGCGGCCGGGGCTGCTTGGCGCGCGTCCTCTCTCCTCTCGCGCGGTTGCTGTTGTTTGGATCCAGACCTCTTGAAGCAGCGAGAGAGGGAGGGAGAAAGGGCGAATAAAGATCTCTTTTTTTAAAAGAAGAAGAAAGGATTAAAAAGAGCCAATGGTTTCCTCCCGCCAAGATGCACCCCCCCCCCACTGGACCCGCAAGCCACTGCCTCCAGAGCCCGGTGAAACATGCCAGCAGCGCCTCGGGAACAAAAGATCAGGCCTCCTGAGGGACAAGTCCACCCGCAGCCTTCATCCCTCGGACTCTGCGTGCACACAGAGGAAGCCAAGGTGGTAACCCACGTTTTCTTGATGTATAGAAATTGATCCACTCTGTGAACTATAGGTTGGTTTTTTCTTTCTTTCTTTTCATGCATTTCTTCCTTGCCCGGAACTGATGCACTCTCTGCCTCCCATTCTCACTCCCCTTCTTCTGTCCCCCTCTCTCTCTTTCTCTAATTCACCCATTTTAAAAGGGGAGTGGGGAAAGTAAAGTGGAAGCAAATGGTTTCTTTTGTAATTGTGGTATTGAATATTGTGTTCCTTTTTAAAAGAGGCAACTTTGATTGTAAACTTCATTCAACTATAGACTGGAAAGATTTTTTAAAAATGTGCCAAAGTCTCCATGCTGTTCTTCAACATCCAGATAATTCCTCCCCCTCTTCCAATGCTTGTGAATGTATTTTCTGTTAGCTGGGTTTACATGTGATGTTTTAGTGCTTTTTGCAAGTTCGATTTGTTAGTTCCTGTTTGGAAGTTTGTGGGGAGGGGGGAGCGGGAGTAAAACGTAGTGCGCTAGATTTTTTTCTTTTTTTCTTTCTCTGTAATAACACCCTCCTTGTGTAAATACCTGTTGCCATATTTATCCATTTGTAATTAAATTATGGTATTAACTTGCTACAGAGGAAACAGTATTTATAAAGAATGTTTCTTAACTATAAATATGTACAATTGTGAGCATAAACTGTTTCAGAATTTTTTTATTTGAAGGTTTATGTGGTTTCATTATTTCTTGTGATATGTTTTTGAGAGTAATGCATACAGAAATATAATAAAATGTGTTGAAACTGCAGTCAATGATAGTTAATCCCTTCTTCTATTCGCCTTTCTTGCTATGTCAAGGCTTTCTTACATGGGTTTTCCATCAGAGGAAAATGTCAGATTCACTCTAGCATGCCTGTGTGTGTTTGTGTTTGTGTGTGTGTGTGTACACAATGAAAACCTTATGACTGTACAAATTATTCAAATGTTATTTATTAGTTTTTTAAACTATTAAAAATCATATTTTAATATAGAATGGATTTGCAGAACCCATTATCTATTTAGACTGCAACCCTGTACACACTTACCTGGGAGTAAGCCTCACAGAACACAGTGGTTCTTACTACCCAGGATTACACTGAAAAGGGCCTTGGATTCTGTCCTAGGTTTGTAAAGAGACTTTTCAGTGCAAGTGTTATGTAATGTATTTCACATCTCTCCTGTTGAAATCGAATGGAGGTTAGAACTGTTTACAACTTTTGCTGGCTCAGATCTTTCAGCTGTTGTACTCATTTCAGTTTTATGCCCTTCCAAACTCTCAATATCTGTATTATCAGTCCCTTGATTTTTTCAAAACACTTAAGCTTAAAAATTTTTGCTCTCTAAAAAGACCACTTGGTAGTTATTTTTTTCCTGCACTGCTATTTAGACTGCATTGTAATGTTTTTGCAGAAATCAGCACTATTTGTATGCTGGTTTCTTTAAAAAAGAAAAAAAGAAATGCTTGATGCTTCTTCATAAAGCTCCTCCAGAGTCTGAAGCATATTTTCTATGCTTTGAACTGCCATAATTTATTTTTATGCATTTTAAATTTAAAGTTCTCTATTAAAATGTATTATTCCCAGATATGAAGTTGTGTGTTGAAGGATGCGTGATAAGGCAGGCTAAAGAAAGTGTTGGTTTATTTTTTAATCTTAGGTAAAATAAAGTGCAAACTTGAGTTTGTTGTCAGAAGATGTGCTAAAGCTGCGAAGCACACAGAAAGCCTAGGGAGTGTGCTCTTGTTAAAAGAACCTCTTTCCACTCACTCCACCCCAACTTACCAAGTGGTTCAAACTGCAGTATCATATTTTACATGAATGGAAATACATAGAGTGGAGCTTTTTTGTATGTTTTGTTTCTTTTTAAAAAGAAAGATCTAAATTAGCTTTTACAAAGCTAAACTAGGGTTTAATGTCGTCGACCATTCCATCCCTTTGAGCTGAATCCTCAAACAGAGCTTCAACAAGCTTGATTTTTAAAGACAGATTTCTAGGAATCAGGATCTGGAACGGCGCTGCCAGGCTGAAAACCTTCGAAAGGCTGGCCTTTGCCCAGCATCGAATGCAGCCACCTGGGCACCAAAAAGAGGCAAACATTCCCGACTCCTTTCCAAGTCCCACAGAAGTGTGCTCCTGGCATACTGCTAAAGCACCAGAACGCCGGCCAAAAACCTCGCAAAAGATACATTTTTCTCTCCAGCACCGCCGCTTGTTTTTCTTGTATTCCATCCAACCCGCCTCCCCGGAATTATGTTCACAACAGTAACCAGCGATGGCCGGAAACAGAGGAGTCTTGAGCAGCAAATGCTCGGAGTGGGGACAGGGATCAAGACTCCTTCGGCTTGGTGGAACTTACTCCGAGTAAACGTGCAGCGAGTCCAGGTGTGGGCAAGCCTTGCCCTGCAGGGGTGATGAAGAAATGCCTGGAAGAGGGAAGGGAGGCGACATCCCGCCCCGCTTCACCCCCGCGACAAGCCTGCCCTGCCGCTGCCCAGGTTTTTGTTTTGCTTTGCTTCGCTTTGCTCGTTTGCTGGTCCAAACAGACCTGGCAGGCTGCTTCCTCTGGAGCCCGCTCTGCTCCTTCCAGGTCGCCCGTCCGTCCGTTCATTCGCTGCCGCATAATGTAAAAACCCTGCAGTAATCAAATGGTGTTAAAATCTCATTTTCCTCCCTTAATAATATTAGGCCAAAAGGAGGGGGGGGGTAAATGCAAGCCCAACTTTATATTGAAAGAATTAGCACGGAACGCGGATCCCTTGGAGGCATCGCGCTCTGCCTGGCCAACTGAAACAGGGGCCGGTCAGGGAACCAAGATTCCCTGGAAATGGGGGTGTCTTGGCTGGGGAGCCGGACCGCTGGAAAAGTCCCCTCGGCCCTTCCGCGGAGCCCAGCTCCAGCGTGGGGTGCAGCTGGCGCCTGCGTGAGATCCGCCTTCCGAGCGGGCCTCCTTCCTGAGGACCGTTGGGCTACTGCACTCGTGTGGGGCGGGAGGACCGCCTGCCAGGGCCAGGGCCAGAGCCCGAGCCCTGAAGGACGGAGCGACGCCCGGGCCCAGCTCCTGGCTCCTCCTGGGGCGCGGCGCCCCCCGGGCCCCCCGGCCAGGCAGCGCGCCGGCCTGCGCGAGTTAGCGCTCCTCTCCCGAGGGAGCCGCTCCCGACCGCGGCGCAGGCCAGCCAAAGCCGGGCTGCGCGTCCCCCTCGCCAGCCCCAGCGCGGGAAGCGCACTCGCCTCGCCCGGAGCTTCTTCCCTGAGCTCGGTTCAGGGGCCGCGCTTCTGCGAAGGCTGGCAGGCGGCAGCGCACCGCGGCCACCCAGGGCAGCTCCTGCTCCAGCGCAGCGCTTTTAGCCAAGTGGCCCGCGCGCTTCCCGGTCGCCTCATAGCAGACGCCTTCTCTTCCATTCAAGCCCTGAGGAGGGGAGGGACTCTCGCCCCCTTCCCCCCACCCGCCCTGTTCCCCTGGACGAGCTGTGAACTTGAACTTGAGCTTGAGCTGGCCTTGGCTGCGGTCGGCACCCCCTTTTTCCTTATCCCAGTAAGGACTCGAGGTCCTCGGCGGAAACCTCCGTCCGGACGACGTAGGCACAGACGTGTCGAGCAGATGTGGAGACGTGACAGTGCGGACGGCAAACCGTCCTGTGATGCTCACTTCTCCCGCATGAAGCGAGGCAGAAGGGAAGGTCTGGGACGTCACCACGCGCGGTGCGGGGCAGGAGGCCCCTTCTGCAGCGATGCAGCGGCCCTTGCCGGTCTCCAGCTCTGGGACTTTTCTATGCATGCAGGTGTGATCCCAAACCCGTGGGATCGGTAGCCCTGGCGTATCTGTGCGTGCCACACGGTGCAGTTGCCCCGGAGTAAGGCCCAGTGAACTCGGCGGAGCTCATTTCCAGCGAGACGTCCAAGGCCATCTGGTTCGACTAGTGTTTTCACGTCGCAGCGGATCGAGGCCCCCGGGCAGGCAGGGATCGCAGAAACGCCCCGATAAGGCAGTGCACTCTCCCCGCTCGGTTTCCACCAGACCACGTTCTCCCAGGCCGGTTCCCCCTAGCCTCACCTACTCGCCTGGGTGTTTCAGATTTGACTCAATTTTGTCTACATTTCCTCCTCTCTGATTCTTTTAGGATTGGTGACAGCCGCACTGACAGCGAGTAGACACGGCGTTCAACTATTACCTGGCCGGAGCAGTAGCATTGTGCGGCGGCAGGACTAAAAGCCCCGTAGTGTTAAGCGACGTGGTAGTACGCACGCACACCGCGGCTGTGTTTTCGTCTGGAAAGGGGAGCCAGTATAAGCACGAGAAGGGGGCGCGCGGGTCTGCCGCGACCGCCTTTCCAATCCTGTCTTTCCAGACCGAGCCAGAGAGACTCATTCCCGTCTCCACAACGCCGCTGACAACCTAGGGATGAGTGCTTGGCTGAAGCGATTCCTCTCCTGGGAGGGGAGGTACCCTGCACCCTGTGACATTTTTGTCTCATTGCACTGGCAGCGCCACTTCGAAACCTCTGATATCCCCAGGCGTGTAGAAAGGTAGCAGCATCGAACCAGAAAGGAGTAAAGCATGTGTTGTCTTTGTTTCAAATTTCCAAGGAAGCGTGCAAGGAAGACGCAGTCTTGGACTTCACTAGAAGCA